AACAGTATGACAAACAAAACTTTCAAATATGATTTAACTAAGCATGCAATAAGTTTGGTGTCAGAACATTTATTCTGTGATTCTTGATGAGGCTAATCTATGGGATAAGTACAGAGAAATGTCGATATGCCAAGACTTAAATGATTCCACCTGTCCCCAGTAATATAAATGGTGTTAGCCAATGTTCTTGTGGAAATTTCAGATATGCTTACACTGGAGTGAGAGTGTGACTGCAGCTTATGTATATGTACCCAAGCTAACTTTAGGATAAATAGATAGATCAATCTGGTGTAACCACAATGGGAATGGGCTCATGATGACCCCTCCCCCCCCCCCCCCCCCAAAAAAAAAAAAAACACCAAAAGCCCTTAAAATAAACAAAAAACCCCAAACACCCTCATGTTGAGTTCAGTGCTTCTTCCTTTCAACTACTAAAACCAGAACTTGAACTAGTTGCTTTGTTCAATGTGATCTACTCACACACAGCTTCAACACCTAGAAATTAAAGGAATATCTTTCCTGGTACATGTGGCTTTCTCCTTCTAATAAATACTTCAGTACTAGAAGAAGTTCTTGATGATCTAAATTTTGTACCTAGGTTCTGAATACGATAGTGTATTCTTAACTGTATTTCTCTTTTGCTTAGGCCAAGTACATAGAGTATGAAGTAATTTTGCAAGATAAGTAGAATAGTCTTGGAATTTTTAATAACAAAAGAAAAAAGTAACAGCAATAAAGGACACTATCAGTGGTGTAGGAGTGTTCAGAATGGATTTTTCTGTCTAACAAATCAAGAGTAACATATGACTATGTCACATGGGCACCAACTTTCAAAATACCAGAAAATTTGCAGTGATTTCTTTTGGTAAAATGCACCTGAAATGATGAAACAAAAAAGTTACTGGTTCAACATTTTCTTAATGAAAGAGTTAGCAGAATGTTGCTGTTCCTTTTTATTTACTAAGGGCCAAATTCAATTCTACAGGTGCCAATATGCTCCACCTCCCTTTGTATTTGTTGGAATATAATCTAGTAGAAAGCATTTTCAAGACCAGGCAGATCAGCAACGTACTAATCTGTATACAGTGAAGTCTCAATATATAAACTTTATGTGTTCATAATTTATGACTAAACATATAATTATGTGCATAAACCTTTATATACTGAGACTTCAGAGTGGAAAACTTATCTGTGTATAACTTCTGCAGTATTTCTGAGACTTTGTTATCTTAGTTTTGTACAGATGTTTCATACAATAGAATTTTATGTAAATTTTCCTTTTTATTTTAAATTTTCATAAGCAGGTAACTGCAAATAGAAATTACTGCATCTCTTACTGAGTTTGTTGATCATAGGAAGGCACTAAGGTCTCTATGATCTATAACAGAAGGTCTTAAAACTCTTCTGGCAGAAATTCTCATTCCTTCAAACAGCAGCTAGAGTGGGATCAGCAAATAATGTATAGATTATATTCTGTAGGCCCTCCGGTCCCAGTTTGTCATAGAAATAGCTCATCAGTTGATAGAGAAATGAAAGCAATAGGAACGAGGAAAAGAGAGGGAAGAAAAAGTCAGATATTTCTGCACTGGAATTCTCCCTTTCTCTGCACTCAATGGAAGATTATATACTCATCTCTTTGCCTGATTTTGGGATGTAGTTATAAATATCATTGTGTCTGTCCCCTCCCAGTCTTCCCCCCATGCACAGACTGGTAAGATTTTTTTGAACTGCTTGTCTTTTTATTGAAGGTTGAGATGTGAAGTTCACAGTTCACATTTCTTCACATGGCAGAATTTTATTCTCTCTTTTTCTTTTTTTTTTTGCTTCTGCTTTATTACTTTACTCTTATTCATAGTGTATTTATTTTGCAAATGCATTTATATACATTGTCGGGGAATCTTAAAATTTCTGGTTTCATTTTATTTTTTTCTCTTGAACAGTAAATTCTCTGAAATGAACTACTTCTGATTTTAAAAAATGTAAAAAACAGGACATGGCCTTCTTGCAACACCTCATGGAGGGGCTTGATTTTTCAAGTGCTGATCTTTCAGTCATGTGATAGGAGTGATAGGGAAAATTACTAGTAAATGTCAAAAATATTTTACATTTATTTGTGGAAATTTTTCATTTCTGGAAGGAAAACAGTTTTAACATCCCAAATGTAATCTGGATGTCTTGTCCACATTCTCTACTAATTTTCTCTTCTTTTTGTATCCTAACTTTATCATCCACAGATCAGACCATGATACTTTTAGACACTTCAGGTGTTTCCAGGTGGATTTTCCATTGCTGCGACTTGCTATCCAATTTATACCAGAAAAAAATCTGGGAGCAAATAAAACCTTAGGAAATAATATCGTTGTTATGCTTCTTTTGTTCTCTTATTAACTACTTGAATCAGTATAAACAGCATTAAAAATTACTTTTTTTCAAATATCAGATTATTAGGTGTACTCATTATTTATTGCAAAATATGAATCGATGAATTTAGAACATTGTAAGTCATTCAGAAATGGAATAGAAATACAGCATTGAATGCTAGCTTTTTCATGGGTATAAAATTTTAAATGTTTAATTTAACAGCAGCAGTATGCGCTGCTGGTCATCCCACACTGATCCTTACTTGTGAGATTACCATTTTTAAGACAAGATAATAAGGTATAACAAATACACATATTGCAGTAGAAACACCAAAGGCCCTGTAATCTGTCCACTCCACAATTATTTGTGCAAAATTTTGCACCAACAGTAAGTGATACAAATACTGTTGAACTGAATCATTATTAACTTCATGCTTCTAACGCAATCCTCATAAACTTAACTAATTGTAGATAGGATTAGCCCATGCTTTATGGTTTCTGTCTATGAATTCTTCAGTTAATTCATTTTTCTAAGCACTTCAAATGGACTAGAACTGTATGTGTACAAATCTGGTCCCTAGAATATATAAAAAATACATGAAGAATAGTTGGTATTGCCTATGTTTAGACCAACAGAAAGTGTGGAAATGAAATGCAAATCAGTTTAATTAGAAAACAGCCTGTCAGATCAGAAGATGGCTTAAACTGGGTCCAAAATTATTTCTCACAAACTAATGTTATTTAAGTTGTTGTTGTTAAATATTTATAGGCAGTGTAACGCTGAAAATATCCCCAAAAGATTATAGTATGCACTTGCACTTCCCCAGGCTATTGTGGACTGATCACTTCTTCCATCTGACTGAAGAAATGTGTCAAGTACAGGGTTTTGTACAGTTTCAGCATAATCAGGATGGTCTGAAACGGTGTGACTTAGGCCCCTGCATGCACAAGACAGTAGAAAAGATCTTGTTTTCCTTTCTTTCTGCTTCTCGTATAGTCCTGTGTAAACACAGTTTAGCTCGTAGTACAGAATATCATTCTTTTCTAAGCATAGATGATAAAAGTGCAAGTTCTTGCAATGTAAATACTTTGTGGCCAGCTTTTCCTACCTCTTATTCTGGAATAAAGGAAAAGCCCAGAGTGTCTGTAATTAATGGTCCCTTCTATGTTTTACTTCCATGTGGGCACAGCAACCCTTTGCTATTGGCTTTATTTTCATGATCAGCTCTAGATATGTAAGAAGAAACTGAAAAAAAAAAAAAATTGAAAGAAATTAAAAAAAATACATGTTTTCCAAGAGTGTAAAGAGTATAAAATATCCTACCCATGCATTCCTTCAGCTTCTTCACAGTTGATCACAGTACATGAAATAGTCAAATGGGCAGAACCTCTCTAAAGGATGTTGAGGATTTTTTTAAAAAAGGTATCAAGTTAATGAAAATGCATTTTATTACTCAGCCACAGGAAACACTGTAAAAATTATAGTTTTTAAGTAGCAGTATTATAAGAGAAAGAAAAAGAGGAGGAATTCTTTGTAGAATTGCATTCATATCACATGAAAGAGGGGATGCCATGCCTTTTCATCTACTCATTTTTTTTCCCTGGGATTTCTTAACTACTTTAATGAAGAGCCTTTTGTTCCTGTTTTTGAAGGAGAGGAAGAAAAATGATGGCTTTGTTCTCTCCTTAAACATTACACAAATCTTAACATAGAAAACACTCTAACTGATGTGATTTACTCTCTAACATTCAGAAAAGAAAAGAAAAGCTTTCTCCATTGGTATTATTAATTAATTAATGTCGATTTTAAAATACTCATTGAAAAGTCCTTATGCACATGTAAAGAAAAAGAGAACAGATGACATACAAAGATATGACACTACACTTTAAACCGCCCCTTGAAATACTGAAGCGTTCAAAAGCTGCAAAATTATCATGTCATTTTAAAATACTGAATTATGAGAAAGAAACACACTGAAATATGAAAATTTACATCTCTGTTATCCAAACACACTTAACCTTATCTTTCTAAATGCATTGCTACCTGGTACTGTTAATAAGTAAGTGCGTGCTTGGAAGGTATCTTAAATGCCTGACAATCTATCAAATGGAGACTTTTGTGGCTTGGTCCTGAGGCATAAATTGTTGTTTCTTCTTTTAATAAAGTAATAGTATAAAGTGTTCATATCAGACAGTGGATTAGCTTCAGGGTAACAAGCTATGAAGTAACAGCCTGTAGATTTATGTATGTTTGACTACATCTACTGCAACATAATTAAAAGCCTGATGGAAGTTGAATGGTGAATACTATTTGGCTGGATATAATAGTTGGGCATGAAGAAGTTTGAGACCATGGGACTAAGTGTGATAGGACTTGTTGCAGCAAGTTGCCTGGCTTACAGGCAACACCAGCTGGATCAGGTTTTGTGCATTTATATTTATATGTGTGTGCACGTGTGGGTTTGTATTTATGTGACCAGTGTTACTGTGGTGAGATGCAAATGGCTTTTCAATAAATGTTATGGTTGTAGAGGATATAGGTTTTCCTGTGACATTATATTACATTTTATTCTTATCAGGAATAGCTAACTTTCCTTAAAGTATACCCCATGCAATATATGTTCCCTGTGGTCTCTTCAGGTTCTCCATACAGAGACAAGATCACTATAGCAATTCTTCAGCTGCAAGAGGAGGGCAAGCTCCACATGATGAAAGAGAAATGGTGGAGAGGTAATGGCTGCCCAGAGGAGGAAAGTAAAGAGGCCAGTGCTTTGGGAGTTCAAAATATTGGAGGAATCTTCATCGTGCTAGCAGCAGGATTGGTGCTTTCTGTCTTTGTGGCAGTGGGGGAGTTTTTGTACAAATCAAAAAAAAATGCTCAGTTGGAAAAGGTAAATACTGTCTTTTCTTATTTTATTTTATATTTATGGTCTATTTAAATAATACTTTAAGCATTTGGTAGCAAAATGTAGGTGATGCACACTGATTGTTTATTCGATAGTATTTGTATAACAAAGGATCACAGCAAAGTACCCAAAATTTTACAGTTACAGCTTTTAATTTGTCTTCAATGTGTTTAATTGTAGCCAGATTTCAGGACAAGTGACTATTTCTCCTCTTATTCAAGCCTGAAAAAAGACAGCTTTTTACTCCTGGAAGTTCACTGCAGTTAATTTTATGGATGAAGAAGAAATCTGAAACTGTAATGGGAAACAAATTAATCTTCTACAGATAATTCTGATTTTCAAAAGACAACCTGTCTGTAGCTCAAAGTCAAAATCTAAAAATGTCTCTATAGAAATGTTCTTTACAGAAGTTTATACTTGCAAAGTTGTCCTGGTAGCATCTGGAAAAGATTACATCAGTATGATTTTTTTTGTTGGGTTTACTACTGATATGATGTCCTGTAATTTCAAACTGACTCAGTTTTGACGATTCTAGTGTTAATTTGTTCTGTACTTGCAATTTATACAACCACAGTACTGTAATTGTGCCAACACTAGTAATATCTTGTGAAATTCTTAGTTGGAATTATCATTTTTGCATAATAAATAAATAAATCTTTCTATACATATGTGCCCATGTTTAAACCTGAACTCAAACTATATATTTTATTGCTATGACAAATTCTGAATTTTAAAAATTGAGAGAAACTGTTGGATTTTACTAGGTCTTTTTCTTTTTTTTCTTCTTCTCCGTTTGAGGAGCTTGTGACCTATGGCAATTTCTATATTTCTATTTAGAAATTTAATTTAATAAAATCAGTAGTAAATCCAACAGCTGTATGTATATTGTTTTTTTTCCAGATGCTACTGGTGAATTTTTGTAACTTGAATCATTACTCAGAAAATTTACAATTTGTTTTTACTTCTTTTGAGGCAACCTTTTGGTATGCAAGTGTCCTGCTATAAATATATTGTTAAAGAAGTTTTTTTCTAATACACACAAAGGCAGTGTGAGGTCACAAAGTCCTAAACACAGTTTGAACATGGGTACATTTTATTAAATTGTTAAAAGACCATTTAGATCTTCTTCTTTATGATACTGCAGGCTGATTCCTTTCTGTTACCATACTATTGGAATGTTATGTTTCTGAAATGAATTTGTGAGGAAAAAGATACCAGTTACTTAAGTAACCCATGTAAGTCTCAATGATTTTTACCCATTCCTAAGGTGGATATGGATTTCGTATGGACATCAGTTTAATTTGGTTTAGCTTTTCTGGATTTTTAAAAAGCACTCACTTCGAAAAATAGGACCGTTTTGATAACAATCTTGTAACATGAGTTCAGTATTTTGCAGGGTGTGAATGCATATTTTACGTGACAAAAACAGCATGTTGGAAGTTGTGTGAGGAAGCAAACAAACTTTTTAATTAAGGATTTGTTTCTCTAAGCCCTATGGTTTTGTGGTTTTGGTTGTTTGGGTTTTTTTCTTTTGCTGCTTTTTTATTTTTGTTTGTTAATGATGGATAGATATAGCAATGACTGGAGGTATCTGACTTTTTAACAGTACTTGTACCAGAAAGGTCTCATCATATCATCAAGTATTAAGATACTTTAAAAGTTAGGGCTGAATCTGAAGCAGTTGAAAGAGTCAGGTCTCTCTCCTCTATTTCCTCCTTGCAGCCAATCTCTTCCCTTCCCTCCCCTCCCCACAACACCCACATACCCTGATGTCAGTAGACCAGTAAAATTTCAGTAGAACTTTACTTCTGGAATGAAATTAACAGAAAAATGATGCCAGCATCCCTACACATGGCCTACGCCATCATCCCCTCACCCACTGTTCTCCCAACACCCATAGACCTTCAGTGAACGTCTTCTTCCATTCTCTCCTAATGTAGCAAGTCCCCTTTGCCTAGGAGAGGGAGTAGCAGCAGCCAAAAGGGAGATAAGCAGTACTGTCATCTGTCTCCAGTCTCTACATCTCCTATGCTGGGATGAGTAAACCATGCCAGTAATGATGCCTTGGCTATTCCACAGGGAGAGAGGAAGCACCTAGTTTTGGCAACATTTATAGTTTCAGCCCTTTAGAATCAGAGTAACATTCTGGAATTTGTATAATGCTTGTCAACATTTGGAGACAGGGAAGATCAAAGGTCATATTAACAACCAAAGAAACAAAAGAAATCAGATAACTTCAGCTGCTGAATATATGGAGTATCCTGAAATATAAATGGGCAATATTAACATGTGTGTCTGCTTTTTGATGCATACAAAATATACAGTTGCACTTCCAGTGGGGAGGCAATGCAGATTTAAAGTGTATAATCTAGATATGTTTTTTTAGCATTTTCAATGCCAGCCCTTCCTGGAGTGCACACGTGAACAGAGACATTGGCTGGTGTGAACCTAATTAGAGGAGTGAAATCTTGAAAGGAATTGAGCTCAGAAAACAGCAGACAAGATTGTGTTATTTGCCAAAAACCTGTTGCATCTTGTAACCGAAGTGGTTCAGAACATCCATGCTCCTGATGTGCTCAAAAATCCAAAGGAAACGTGTGACACCAGCTGTAGTCTTTCTGGGAAACAGATGAATGCATGCCACCACAACACTTTGTAGACACAGAGAAATTCCTCTTTTATTGACACCTTTCAAAATCAAAGATAAGCCTGGATGTTATCACAGTTAGACTGTCAGTCACTGACACTTGCTATGGCTAGTTTGTTTAAAAAATGAGTGTCCTAATTTACTAAGTATTTTCTAGAAGATCCAGATCTGATGGATGTGAATAGAACAATATATGGATTCAATTCTACTATCATTTATAGCAGGTCAGAACTAGGTCTGCCTGTGAAAAAACAGCAGATGTACATTTTATTAATTTTGAACTGTTAAGTACTTCAAAAAATGTGAAATGAGACACATATCAGCGTACCTTAACTGTTTGTTTCACTAGGGGAGATCTGGTTATAGACTTCCTATAATACAAAATACTAGATTAAATCTTATGATGTACTGAAACAATAACACCAACAAAGTATTTCTGGAGTTATATGATCAAATCATAACCTAAACATCAGTTAAATTAGTCTCTCTGAAATAGTTATTTGTTTATAATTGATTATAAAAGCAATAAAAACAATAAATACATTGATACTGGTTTATATTTTACATACATTTCCCAAGGAAGACAAAAACAATAGAACTTTCCATGGTAAATAATTCACTGCTTAGATATGCAATTGAGATGAGAAAGATCAGTCTGGATAGTTTATCTCACAAGGTACAAGGAATGAGCAGCTAGCAGGACTGGACCAAAAGTAGACATCAGTAGCTGTGAATATACGTGTGTTATATACAAAACAGTGTTTTACTTACAACTGCAGATTCTATTGAACAAGAAATTCTGAATGCTGAACTGTGACCTGTATATGAGACTAACTATGTCTTTGAAGATGGCACAAACTTAACTGGTTGACTCTTGCCCAAAATAAATTGTTAAAAAAAATTTCTAACACCTTCTGCAAAATGGACAAACCATGTTTTGGTTTTGATAATGTAAGGATAACAGGAATAGAAGTTTCTGATCTTAGCTGGCTCAAAAATTCATGCAGCTTTACTGAGCTGCAGAGACTTTAGGCTGTGGTAGTATTTGATCTTAAACTTAATAGAAATTAAGTGTTTTTTGCTACAATTGCCAATAATGCTGAACTTGCTGTCTACCTCAAACACACATTTAAGTAATGTGATAACCTGGGGTGTATTTTGAGCTAAATAACTCCTCTAGTCCTACCTAGTACATAGTGTCACTGATTTTTTTCAGAGGGTGTATTGGGAATGACAAAGCATTGTCCTTGTCTATGGCAGAATTTTGACATTCCAGTTGACACATTGGGAAGGCGTAGGAGGAGATGGGAGGTCGGAGGCTATCCTGACTGCATTCCCGCAGAGTAACCACAAGATGGTGCCTTCTAATTTCTCAGAGGGAAATTTAATTGTTACTTTTTAATAGAATTTATGTCACAATGCTCACCTGTTTTTTAATTGCAGCCTTTCTAAAAAATGCTAAATGCTTGTATTCTTTCCTATTGTTTATAATACAAACATCTACTTATGTCATCTGCTTGGAAACATGTTATGAAGCAGACCTTTTTTATCTAGCCAATCTTGACAATAAATGCTCAGGCATTAGCATTTTATAATTGTTTTTGCTGGTGAATGACCTGCTCCCTGGTTTTAACAGGCACTCAGAGGGTAGTGAATAAGCAATGTCAGAAACAGAAGACATTTAAAACAATTACTATGTCCTTTTTCTTTTTTTTTTGTTGTTGGTGTGCTTCAATGTGTTGTGGGTTTATGTCTATTTCATACATTTAGTTTTGTATAGCTCATATTATTATTATAAGGGCCAGGGAAAACATTGACCTTGAAGACCATTAATATTTAACATAATATATTGATCATTCTCAGTTTGAGAATTTATTGACCTTTCCTTCATTTTTGTGTTTTGTTGTTTGTTTTTTTTTTTTTTTTAAAGTCTCCTCTGAGATTACTTCCATTTTGATACCACCTTCACACAGTGATTAGATATTACCATAAATGTCAGCTGTGTGGTAGAAACTATGTGTGCACTGCTCAAAACTTTAGGATGAAATTCACAGTATTGCTGAAGGCAGTGTCAAGAATGTATAGAACATTGCTTGTTGTCACCCTTGCAAATGGTTGTCCTTGTACCTATCCCAGTCAGGTTTTCTTGGGAGAGGGTGACGTTGGCTTGAGAAGTTATCTTGAAACCTGGTTTTATTAATGTAATGGACCCACACCCTTCCTAAGAGGCAAGGAGGGGCCAAGGGCTGCTATGCTGAAAAAGCTGTTGTACTGTAACCATATACAGTTGACACCATGTCCTGATTGTGCTTCTCTCAAATACGGTTTAACTGTTCTT